ATTGCTTTCAAGTTACTCTCTGTTTAGATCCAAACCTTTAAATGGTCAGATCTTAAAGACCACCGGCACAATTAACAAATCTAGTCTTTTTCCGGGGCTAGGCATTCAGCAGACACTGGGGGTAAGTTGCTCTTCCATCTTTAGGAATGATTATTAGCAAGGTAAAAGTGCATTTGAGAGATACAGACCCCTGTGAATATAGGAGGAGGATACAGGGAGTCTCAATTCTAATCTTGGCTTTGGGCAATTTTGTGGGGGGGTGCGGGGGTGATATATTTTATTGGACCAGCTGTATAGTTGGGATAAAGTTAGAGAAGCTTTGAATGTAAAGCAATCTTGGGTTTGACATCAACTTAGTTTGTGAGTTGATCCAACTTCCTGGCACACTTTCCCATCTATAGAATGCAAGTAGAGTACACAACATAAAATGTGAGGCAAAAAAGATTAAAGTAATACATTTGGAGGATGAAATATTCTGTGTTTTTGAGGGCAACAGATGTGGGGCACTGAATCTTAAAGTAACATTAGTTGTTTCTGCCTGGAATGAAGAAACCTGCACTATTATTCTGTAGGCTGTACTTGCTCTGAAAGAGATGACTTCATTCCCCAGCACTGCTCATCTGGCACATTTCCCCAGCAGTGCAGTCACTTTTTTCTGTAAGGAGATGGCTCAATGCAAAGTTAACTCATGTCATTTCCCCCTCCCACCTTGCCAGCTTGTTGAGAGGATGTCCTCTAGCTCAGTGTTTCTCAGACTTTTTTGTACCAGGACCCATCTGTAAACGTTGATGGCCAGTCCCGACCCAGTGCCCCTCACTCCTGACCCACTGTCCGCAGGCCCCAGCTCCCCAGTGTGTGGGGCAGCGGGGGTGGGGGGTGGTAAGAAGCCCTTTGTAGGCTGGAAGTCTTACAGCCTGCAAGAGAAAAGCCACGGTTTCCCATGTTTTACTTCTTTAGAGGAGAATCCATTTTTAAAGTTTGTTTCTGACCCTTTCGTATAGTCTTGCGACCCACCTTTGGGTTGTGACCCACAATTTGAGAAACGCTGCAGCTCACCATGCTGATCCAATGGAGTTTTGCACCATAACTGGAGAACTGTAGTAACTAGTGCTAAGAGCTACATACAAACAGGACTTATGTGAATTGCAAAGTGATATCTGGCTTAGAAGCAGGGAACAGTTGGATATCAAGATAATCCAACCTGTGGGGCATGGAATCTCCATCTTTAGTGGTTTTTAAGACCTGGGTAGACAAAGCCTAGGCTGGGATGATATAGCTGGGGATGGTCCATCTGCTTTGTGCAGGTGGTTGGACTAGATTAGTATTTTTCAACCTGTGGGTTGTGACCTAAAAGTGGGTTGCAAGAATATATGCAAGGGTTGCAAACAAACTTAAAAAATGGAAAAAGAAACTTAAAAAATGGATTATCCTTTAAAGGAGAAAAATGTAGGAAACCGTGGCTTTTCCCTTGAAGGCTAGAAGAGTTCCAGCCTGCAAGGGGCTGCTTGGGACCCACGCTGCCCCTCCCTGCCCCACACATTCATGCCAGCCCCACACACTGAGGGGCTGGGACCTGGGGATGGGGGGCCAGTGGGTTAGGAGCGAGGGGCACTGGGGTGGGACTGGCCATTGATGTTTATAAAAGGGTCCTGGTACAAAAAAGGCTGAGAACCAATGGACTAGATGACCTCTTGAGGTCCTTTCCAAGCCTAATTTTCTATGGTTCTATTATGACTCTATGTCCATAGGGTGCATCTACATGTGCTGATTTAAGCTGCATTAGCTATTTTTAAGGTGCATTAAGGGCACAGATCTACATGTGTGGGCCCTTACTGTGCCTTAAAAATGGCAGTTTTAGGCTATTCATGCCTAAATTTGATTCCTGCAAAAACAGAGATCAAATTTAGGCACAAATAGCTAAAGTGCCCTAATGAATATGTAAGCACCCTAAGGTGCATTAATGCAGTGTATGTCAACTGACTTGGAACTCACTTTAGTCCCGAGTCAGTCCTCACGCCACGTTAATGTGCCTAGCACATGCTTGTAGACACACACCTAAATTGCCTTGATGCTCATTAGGCAAATGCATATTCATAGATTCATAGAAGTAGGGTCAGAAGGGACCTTGTAGATCATCAAAACTGACCCCCTGCCCTGGGCAGGAGAGAAAACTGGGCTCAAATGACCCCAGCCAGGTAGACATCAAACCTCCTCTTAAGGACCCCCAGGGTAGGAGCCAGCACCACTTCCCTTGGAAGCTGGTTCCAGATCCTAGCCGCCTATTAAGTTTAGGCGTGCATAGAAGCACATGTAGACACGCCCTATGACCTTGGGGGAAGACAAGGGTGGGAGGTTTCAATAGACTGTGTTCTCCAGAGGTTGCCAGGTAGACTGGGGTAAAATGTGTCAGCAATTTATAACAATGTCCTCCCACACAGTGACCTGCCCCTGTGTCATATCCCTCCCTTTGCCCCTGGACTTCCGGTCATTCTCTCTCTCCTTCCTGTCGTTATCGCTCTGTTCTTGCTTTGCCTCACATAATGTTTCTTCATCTTTCCTCTTGGCATTCTGTCGAGAGTCAAACACAAGGTCAGTGAGTGTACATGTGCCAGGTATTCATGCTTGGGGTGAGCACTGTGTGCAGTACAGTTCCCAGAGCATCTGGAATGGGGGCTGCTGGCAGCATGCATCCTGGGTCCTGCTCATGGGGCCGGTCTGGGTCAGTCGAGACCCAGGGGCAACACCAGGGGCTGAATAACAGGACACTGTGGGCTGTGTGCTTGGTACGGACTGTGGAGTTATTTTGCTTTCCTGTGTAGCAGGCAGGTGTGGCCCTCTACCGGGACCTCTTGAGCGAAAAGGGACACTTGGCCCTTGGTTCAAAGACCCCCTGGGAGGCGGAGCAGACAGGGAGAATGAAGAGGACAACGACGCAACTGGACCCGGAGACAACGAGGAAAACAGCATCAGAATCAGCAGCAGCGGAAGTGACAGTGCCGTCAACAGTGACAAGGACAGGGAATGAAGTGAGAATGTAATCTCCAAACCAGCAGATTGGACAAAAGGACTGCAGTTGGGTTAGGGAAGGGCAATGGGTCGGTGTGCGGGGGCGCATGGGAGTGGATGCATTTATTGTAATGGGTGCACAGCTTCTTAATGTGGTTTAAGGTGTGATGGAAAGTTTTATACTAGATGATGTGTATGTGTGTATATATATATATATATAAAAAAATATAAAAGAAGTCTATTGACAACATTTCACAGAAGCAGGATGCTGGCTGCCGTGGTTCCCCTGCTTTACCTGTAGTTAGCAGGTTAGGGTGTTAGGTCTATGTTGTGTCAGGGTTGAGCGTAGTCTGATGTAGTTTAAATTACGGTTGTATGGGATGGTTTGGACAGGGATGATCCTACCTCAGGCAGGGGGTTGGACTGGCTGACCTCTGGAGGTCCCTTCTAGCTCTACTTCTCTATGACTAGCTGCACCCAAGTGATGCTAGTCTGTGTCTGTGCTAGAGTGGTGCCTGACTATCGTGAGGGCCAACCTTTTTAGCAGATGTGACCCAAATTAAGCTCCACACCCTCCCTTAGTGCCATTCTGATCCCCCTCCCCTGCCTGATCTGCTGTTCTGCTGTTTACTCCTGCCCTGTGCTGTACATCTTAATGGATTTCCCCATCTGTGCTGTTGTCCTTACAACACTTCCTGTTATGGGCATACCCTAATTCTCCTTCTTAATAGCACTGTTTGCTACAGGACTGATATATTTGACAGTAAATCTGCCTTCATCTGTTTCAACTGAGTGCTTAAAAATTAGCTTGGCTTAGCCTACCTGGGTGTCCTTGTTGTGGGACACAGGCTTCTTGCTTTACAATGTATTATATTTGGTACTAAACTCTGGACTGCTAAATGTCCCTCTATGAATTTAAAGATAACAGTTGCAAACTCGGCTTCTCTACAAATGCAACACGGCATCCTTTTTTGTTCGGAGCCTGATGCAGATCAAGGAAGGTGCCTGTTGTTCGCTGGAAGCGATCTGTCGATTCCAGACAACGGCTGAGGCGAGGCAGGGCAGGGGAAGAAAACCTCTTCTGGTGAATTTAGATTTTCCTTGCAGCAAAACGCCCCTTCTGTGTTTGGACTTCTCTATTCCAGGGAGCATTTAAGCACGTGACACCAGTGGTAGTCGACTGGCAGAGAGCGGCAAGGGAACAATGCCTGCACGTGGCGTTTCCAGTGCCCGCTGTCTCGCTTACTGGGAACTCCCCCCTTAAAAAAGTCCATGATGTGCCCAAACCTGTAGCTTGATTGATATTTGCACCAAGCAACATCCATACACATCGCGCTGCCTCGGCTGGATTCAGGGTAAGGCCTGAGCAGCCAGGAGCAGGGAGGGTATTTCCGTGCCCCTCTCGTGCTAGTGCTCGCTCTGCCCTCTCTAGTGTCTCGGACCCTGCTCGCTGGGAAACGGCGCCGGGGCC